AAAAAAAAAAAAAAAAAAGAGAGAGAGAAAATGTTTGGTCCATCCTTTGCTGAGTGCTTGGCAACTAGTAAGAGAAAGTTATAGAAAATATCTTGCTAGTCACATTTTATGACTTCCTACAATTATTTCATTAGTGTTTCACAAATCTTTTGAGAGTTTAATATGGGGAAGTCTGGCTCTGTACTTAGTCACCTCGACAGCAATAAAATGCTCATTTTTTTGCCTGAAATAGCAGGAAGCACCACAGAGAAATCTGTCATTTTTGGTAGCAAATAAAGCATGTGCCACACACTTGTAAATGTACATTTTGTTTTTGTGTTTTTGAGTTGGTGTCTCATCATGTTGTCTAGGCTGGCCTTGACATCTTGGCTGAAGTAATCCTCCTGCCTCAGCCACCCAAGTAGCTGGGACTATAGGCATATGCCACCTGGCTTGGTTAAACACTTGTGCATAAATATTCGGAGTAGCTGGATTCATGATTGCCTCAACCTATAAGCAACCCAAGTGTTTATCAACTGGCAAAGAAAGCCTGGCCCCCCATGGTGCACACCTGCAATTTGGGGGCTGAGATAGGAGGGGGTCTTAAGTTTGAGACCAGCCTCAACAACTTAGCAAGACCCTGTCTCAAAGAATGAAAAAGGATGGGCTGGGGTGGTGTCTCAGTGGCAGAGCACCACATAAAAACAAATAAACAAAATAAAGGTATTATGTCCATGTGTAGCTAAAAAAAAAATATTTAAAAAAAATTTAAAAGGCTGGGGATGTGGCTCAGTGGTAAAGTGTCCCTGGATTCAGTCCCCAGTGAAAGTGGGAGGGGGGCTGGGGAGAAGGTTATAAAAGAACATTGGCCAGAACTAATGTCATTATGCACTTAAAAGTGGGAAAAAGATGTTGTTTTAAAAAGTATACCTATACCACTCTGGGACATGGATAAAGCAATAATAAAGATAAGCAAATTCAGTAACCACAAGTGGTCAGACTTAATCACACATCAAATTTAAGTCAACCAACAGCTCATTATTATTATCAGTTAATGATACTCTCCATTCTCTGGGTCAAGTTTGCCTTCTCATCATTAGAGATGGACACATTTTACACCGAATAAACAAAATCCTTTCAGGTCCAAGTACCTTGAACCTAAGAGTGTCCCTTTAACTTAAGTGGATTCCTTCCTTACAGGCAGATTTGGATCTGACTTTATGCTTTTCTTGCTCAGAGGCGGAGTACTTATATTCTGTTTCTTAGGTCTTTGTTCTAAGAGCAGGGGAGCTCTGAGGGTTTTGGCCAGGGCAGCATCCTGGTTGGATAGACCTTCAGGTCCCAGAAACTGCCTTGTGGAGGGTGGATGGGGACACTGTGGAAGCAGCAGCAAGGCCCTGCAGAGGCCTGGCAGTTCCTGGAGCTGTGCGCCTCAAAGGGATCCAGTTTTCTCTGTGTAAATATTTCAGCTTTAAAGAAAGACCATCACGGCCAGGTGCAGTGGCGCACACCTGTAATCCCAGAAGCTTGGGAGGCTGAGGTGGGAGGATCGTGAGTTCAAAACCAGCCTCAGCAATTTACTGAGGCACTAAGCAACTCAGCAAGACCCTGTATCTAAATAAAATGCAAAAAAAAGGGGGGGGGCTGAGGATATGGCTCAGTGGTTAAAGCGCCCCTGGGTTCAATGCCCAATAGGGGTGKGGKGGGGGACTTGTCCACATAAAGTCCAAAATGAAATTCAGGACTTCTTGGCCAGAGTGGGAACCACGGACGAGTCTGGGTACTCGGGTGGTATTCTGCTCTTAGAACCTACAGTGTTTGAAGAGAGACTGGGAAAGGCACTGGGGAGGAGAGAGGATGCAGGACCAATCCAGGTGGGTGTGAGAACTGAGACTGAGAATTTCTGATTGGCCGCAGGAGCTCTTGCCAAAGTAAACTCCAGGGGTTCTTGCGAGGGAGGGCGCCAAAGGGAAGCTCAGACCTGTCCTGAGTGTCCTGGGGAAGCTGGGCAGGAAGGAGAGCCTGGGAGGAAGCAGCTCTTCCTTCCTCTCCCTCGCCCTCGCCCTCGCCCTCTGCAGATGCCCTCCTCTCCCAGACCTCCCTGCAGCTGTGCATAGTGAGCAGAGGAGGAGGCTGGTACAGGGTCTTCCTCACCTGGGCTTGAATCTGGTTCTGCTGTTTTCTAACAGCATGATCCTGGACAGGTTGATTTACCACGTGTGTGTGTGTGTGTGTGTGTGTGTGTGTGTGTGTGTGTGTGTGTTACTGGGGATTGAACTCAGGGGCGCCACATCCCCAGCTCTATTTTGTATTTTATTTAGAGACAGGGGCTCACTGAGTTGCTTAGAGCCTTGCTTTTGCTGAGGCTGGCTCTGAACTGCCTCAGCCTCCTGAGCTGCTGGGATTATAGGTGTGCAATACSACACCTGGCCTTTCTTTAGGCTCTCTCTCTCTCTCTCTTTTTTTTTTTTAGAATTTTTTAATATTTATTTTTAAATTTTGTGGTGGACACAACATCTTTATTTTATTTTTATGTGGTGCTGAGGATCGAACCCAGCGCCCCGTGCATGCCAGGCGAGCGCATTACCACTTGAGCCACATCCCCAGCCCTCTTTAGGCTCTTGAGGGCTCCTGGACCTGGGGCTGCTGGTTCCAGGGGATGATATCTTGGCATCTTAGACCTGGAAGGATCTGGGGCTGGCCCTGGGTTTGACCCACAGCACCAAGAGAAACAAGGAAAGAAAGGAACTGGAGGACTCTTTTACAGGCCCTGAAGGGTACCTGGCATCTGTGGACAGCAGACTGGGCTAGGAATTCTGAGTACTCTGTTCCAAATTTTCTCAGTGACCTTGGGTGACCTCTAGTGGCAAAGTATGACAACACGGTGTCCCAGCAAGGATGTGTTTGCAGGTTTGTACAACATTTAGTTGGTATGTTTGCCTTTGTAGCAGTACTGGGTAGAAATGCCGCGTGTGTGTGTGTGTGTGTGTGTGTGTGTGTGTGTGTTTGTACCAGGGATTGAACCCAGGGGTGCTTTTACCACTGAGCCACATCCCCAGCTCTTTTTGTTCTTCTAAAATTTGAGTCAGGGTTTCACTAAGTTGCTTAGGGCCTGCAATCCTCCTGTCTAGGCTCCCGAGTCACTGGGATTACAGGCATGTGCCASCACACCCAGACTCCCAGCCCTTTTTGAGATTGGATCTTCCTAAATTGCCCAGGCTGGCCTTGAACTTGTGATCCTCCTGCCTCAGGCTCCTGAGTAGCTGGGCCTACAGATGTGCACCACTGCACCCCACTCTCCCCGACTTTAAGCATGCCTGTGTGGCTTGCCCAGCCGGTCTCTTCCTCTGGTGCCTCCTCCTCCCTCCTCCTGGGCTTTCTCCTAGCCGCTGGTCCTGCCTGTTCTCTACAGAACATTTTCTCTGGGTCCTGCCAGCCCCAGGCCTGCTCTGAGACCCATGAGGCTGGGCTGAGCCCCTGTGCGCATTCCTGGGGTAGTGAGTGGGGGCTAGTTCCAGGTCCTCAACTGAGGCTTAGGATCCCAGGGACATTCCTGATGAGTCTCCACCTTCCTCCAGGAAGGCCTTTGGTTTGCAGTGGTCCTGCCCAGATGACCTGTGACCCTTTCATGRGGGAGATGGCCAGTGCACACCCTTGCCTGAGAGACCCACCAGGACCTGGGTGGGCACAGGGTGGGGAGTGGCTGGGACTGAGCCCGGGACAGTATTTGGCCTTGGTTGGGGGGTGAGGCTCTTTCRGGCTTGTTTTGGAACTGGGAGAGGAGGCTCCCCTGGGACCTGAGTGGGTCGAGCCTAGGCTTAGTTAGGGCCTCTGGGTGCTGCTCACACCCGCTTGCTCTGATCTCATACTGCCCAGCACTGTCCTCTGTCTGTCAGTGACCTCTACAGCAGGTCACAGGGCCATGGTGGGTGCAGCCTCTGTCCCCAGACGCTCCTGGGGTGGCTGGAACACACATAGACCCTCTGGGGATCTCAGGCGGGGTCTGCTGCTCCCCATTTCCACCCAGCGTCCCCAGTGTTCCAAGGCAGCAGCTGGTGCAGGAGGCTTTGACTGGCTGCCTGGTGTCCTGGGGTGGCACCTCCTTTCCACTGCTGAAGGTGCAGCCCAGAGCCCACCCTGTGGCTGCTTAGGGTGACAGGGTGGGGTCACCCAGAGCAGGTGATCATGTCCCCACCTCCTCCCTGAGCTTCTGGGACACGGGCCTTATCCCTGCTCCAAGGCTGCTCCCTCTGCTGGTCTGCCTCAGCTCAGCGCATAGCCGCCCCACTTAGGGGTCCTGGCCCTGAGGTGTCAGGGACACAGGGCTGGGGACTTCTGGTCAGAGGGGGAGCAGGGCAGCCGGGGAGTGGAGGTGGGTTGGGGGAGGCGAGGAGAAGGAGGATTTGGGGCCCCAGGACCCTGATTTTACCAAAAGCACAGTCACAGACCCTGAGTAGTGCTCAGCCTTCTATTGGAGACTCTGCCTCCCTGGGACAGGGGTGTCCAGGTGTCCTGAGCACTCCCAGGAGAGTGGACGGGCAGGGGCGGGGGTCTGGTGCTGTCCTCTTGGGGACGTAGGGAGCTGGCGCGTGTGTGGGTGCTCATGAAGTGCTGTTGACACCAGGACCAGGGCCGCATCCCCGGGGCAGCCTAGGGACAGGCGCCCTCGCTCCCCGAGGCCTTCCGTCTCCCTGGACCACGGTCCTGCAGGGGTCCTTCAGGGGTCTTCGGCCTGTGTCTCTTGGGGCTGGACCCCACCCCTGGGCGGCCCGGTGGTGCGTGTGCGTGGGGCGGAGGGAGGGCCGGCCAAGGGCCTAGTCGTCCTTGTCCTTGGCCCCGTGCTTGAGGATGCGGGTGAACTCCACGTAGTTGAAGTTGCCCTTCTTGTCGATGGGCGCCTCGCGGTACATCTCGTCCACTTCCTCGTCGGTGAAGCGGTCTCCCATGGTGGTGAGCAGCTCCCGGAGGTGGTCCTCATGGATGGAGCCTGGGGGCCGGGCCAGGGTCTGTGAGGGCAGGGACCTGGGCTGGGACGCACCAGACCCCGACCCGCCAGCCCACCTTCCTTGCAGACCTCATGGCCGGAGAGAGGCCAGGAAGGTGCCACCCTAGTGTGCTCAGCTCAGGGAACAGGGGACTTGGGCGGGAAGGCCCAGGAGCGCTGCCGGGTCTACCAGGAAGAGCTCTGCCCTAGTCCTGTCTGCAGGGCGTGGGGCTGTGGGTGCAGGGAGTGCTGAGCACACTGTTTTACAAGTGAGCTCTGCAGTTCCACAGCCTGAGTTGGAATGGTAATCTCCAATCTTTGCTGTGTGACCTTGGGCAAAGTACCTAAGCTCTCTGTGCCTACTTGATCTGGAAAACAGGGCTGAAAATATCCCAACCTGGCAAGAGAACTATAAAGATGGGAAAATGTTCTGAACATGCTGGGGCCAAGGCAGGCCTGGGGCCACTGCGAGTCCACTGTTGCCACCTTCACTCAGCATGTCCCTGGGGACAGCTATCTGCGGGACAGAGGATCTGGGTGGCTGGGACTGGCTTCTGTTCCTTGTTGGCAAGAAGGGCGCCTGACTTGATTTCTGGAAAGCTCTACAGCAGAGGGACAGTGGGGGTGGGGGTGGGGGTGAGCCGAGGAAGTGGGGCGTCTTGGTGGGCCTGGGCTGTCCTGTGAGTGGCCTGGGAGAGAGCAGGAGTGGCCTGGCTTTGGCTGCTCTGGCAGTGGCCGGGGAGGTGCCTGGGTGGCCGCGGGCTGACCTGAGGCCTCCTCGTCGAAGCAGGCGAAGGCGTTGCGGATCACGTCCTCGGGGTCGGTGCCGTTCAGCTTCTCCCCGAACATGGTGAGGAACATGGTGAAGTTGATGGGCCCCGGGGCCTCGCTCATCATGCCCTCCAGGTACTCATCCGTGGGGTTCTTCCCTGCACGGGCGGGGGCATCGGTGCTGCGTCCAGGCCCCGCCTGGCACTGCCCTCCCCGCCCGGCCCAGTGGCCAGCTTGGCAATGGACAGCACGGTGCTGTGGAAGGCGGCCTTCTGATTTGAGGCCTGGCCCGGCTGCCACAGTCCCCAGCTGCCACCAGTCACCCTGCCCGTCTGGTAGGAGCATCTGTGGATCAGTGACCCCGTGAAGACAGCGTTGCCACTCCCACTCCATAGACAGGCAAGGAGGCTGGTCCAGGGCCACAAGCCAGTAAACGGGGAGCATGACACCAAACCATTCGAACCCAGGTAGCCTGACCTCGAGCTCCAGACAGAATTTCAAAAGTGGTCAAAGTAGCAAGTTTTGGTGTCACGCAGGCCTGGATTTGCACCCCAGCTCTGTGCCTTAGTTTCCCATGTCTCTTAAGAGCACTGTGAAGAAGAATAAGGTAACGGCTGCAAAAACACCTGGAGGGATGACAGGCACAGCCCTCACACTGGACTGGACTTAGGGGCTCATCCAGCTCTACCACTTAGATGTGTGACACTGGACAAATTACTTAACCTCTCTGAGCCTCAGTTTCCTCCTTTAGGAATGATAATCATGTCTACCAGATGGGGAGGAGCCTTCRAGGTCCTCCTCAACATGTTGCTGTGTCCCTATAGGACAGTTTGTGAAGCTGAGGCTTAGGAGGGCTAGGACCTGCAGGACCTGAGTAGAGCACCTAGGGCCACCCCGCTCCCCTGGCTTCTGTCCCCCCTTGGATGAAACTGGAGGGCCCCAGGTGAGAGCCCTGCTGGGCCACCTCCTGGGAGAGGGAGGCTCCAAGTGAGCCTGGCCTGACTCTAGAGAACCTGTCCCTCCTACTCCGCAGGCCAGGAGCCAGGGCACAGACGGGCAAGGAGCCGGTCCAGGGCCACACTGCCACACTGCCAGGGGAGGCAGCGTCCAGGTGAGCCTCCCTCAGGTGGCCTGTTCTCACAGCTGCCTCAGGAGGGTGTGGGAGGCCAGGTGCCCGTTACAGGGGCAGGGAATGGGCAGCGCTAGGGCCTTCCCCAGGGCTGTTGGCTTGACGCCGGACTTCCTGCCTGGCTCTGGCCAGGTGCCTTCACCAGGATGGCTGAGCTCCAAGAGCGGCTGCCCACGGCCAGCACATGCGGAGCAGCGGCCTGGCCTCTGGAGCGCGGTTTCCTCACTGATTAGAGTGAGTTGAAGTGAGCCCTGGGCCCTCAGGTGCCAGGATGCTGACTGGAGAGGTCACTGGGGTGGGGGAGGGGCTCCTGTCCCCCTACAATGGAGCCTGCAGTTCAAACTCCTCTTCCTTCTTCTTTAATTCAGAGACTCAGTCTCACCAAGTTGCACAGGAGGACCTTGAACTTGCCCCCTGCCTCGACCTCCCAAGTCACTGGGGTCGCAGGCTTGTGCCCCCACACTGGCCYGCAGCTCACTCTTTCATTCAGCTCAGTCCTCTATTTTTATTTATTTTTTTGTTTTTAAAATGATTTGTTTGGGGGCTGGGGTTGTGGCTCAGCAGTAGAGTGCTCGTCTCCCATGCATGGGACCCTGGGTTCGATCCTTAGCACCACGTAAAAAATAATTGAGTGAAACAAAAGTATTGTGTCCAACTATAAAAYAAATATTTTAAAAAATAAATAAATAAAATGATTTGTTTGTTTCTTATTACTATTATCTGGTACTGGGATGGAACCCAGGGATGGGTTTACCCCTGAGCCACATCCCAGCCCTTTTTATTTTTTGAGACAGGGTCTCTAAGTTGCTGAGGTTGGCCTCAAACTTGCAATCCTCCTGCCTTAGCCTCCTGAGTCATTGGGATTACAGGCATGTGCCACCCTGCCTGGCCCAACCCCCTTCTTTAAATCAAATGTCACGGGGCGTCCGATTCATGCATCTGCCCAAGACGGCCCCACTCTGCAATCAGCCTGAAAATCCTGTGCTGGACCCCAGACACATTCCAGAACTGCTCTTTGCCTCAGTTTCCCTGTCCACAGAGTGTGTGAAGCACGAGCAGCTGCCCCTAGGGCGGCTACCACAGGACTTGTGACAAAGGAAGTGCGGAGCAGCCCTGCGGCCCCTGGGAGCCCGCACCACCCGCTGTCCTGGTCCCTGCTCACCTAGGGAGGCCAGCATGTCATGCAGGTCCTCCTTGTCGATGAAGCCGTCGCGGTTCTGGTCGATCATGTTGAAGGCCTCCTTAAACTCTTGGATCTGGGACTGGTCAAACATTGCGAAAACATTGGACGTGGCCCGCTGTGGCCTCTTCTTGGTGGTCTTGGCCTTGGCCCGCTTGCTGGACATCTTGGCTTGAGGTGGGTGGAGCTTCCCTGCAGGGAGGGGGTGCAGGGCATACCTGGGTCAGGGGCTCTCCCTGACTCCCCCAGATGGCTGCAGGCCTTCACGGCCTCCCAACACCCAGTTCTTCACAAAGGCAGAGACTAGGGATTGAACCCAGGGGGTGGGGACACTTAATCACTAAGTCACACCCCCAGCCATATTTCTTTATTTATTGGTACTGGGGATTGAACCCAAGGGTGCTTAACCATTCAGTCACATCCCCATCCTGCTCTTTTTAAAATCCCCATCCCTTTTTATTTCATATTTTGAGATAGGGTCTCACTAAATACTAAGGCTGGCCTTGAACTTTTGATCCTCCTGCCTTAGCCTCCCAAACTGCTGGGATTACTGGGGTGCACCACTGCACCCAGCTGGGCTCTGTGATCTCTCCAAGCCTGAGCGTTCTCGTCTGGGAATGGGGATAAACTAACCAAGTGCTTGAAAAGCACCTGAAATGGTCCCGGCATAGTCAGGTATTTTTGCTCTGAGCTGGTAGAACATTTAGGACTAGACGTGTATGTCCTTTAATCCTGACAGCACTCACTGCCCAGCTCTCTCTCTCTCCAAGTGGCAAGATGGGGCTCCATGGGGGAGGCAGAGGGGGGTTCTGCTGGGCCTCCTTCCAGGAGCCCTGGGACCCACAGGAGGGGCCTGACCAGCAGGCTGCATGCCTGACATTCTTCCTCCCCCTCACCCCTCCCCATCCCGTGGGAGGCTCTGGGAACTCTGAAGTCCACCTCCCACACTGCATGTCCTCCCAAGGCAGTCTGCCAGCCCCTGGGCGAGTGACAGACCAGTTCTGGGCCCTGTCCTGTGCTTTCAGGGGACTGAGGTCCCCAGGCTGAGGGGCCAGTTTCTATTCTCATTGTGCAGATCCAGCCTAGCATCTTTTCTGTCCCATTCACTGGCCACTTGGAAGCGCTGGGAGGTTCCTGCTGCCCCCAGCCCCTAAGCAAGCCTGGGACCTTCAGCCTGGCATTCAAGGCCTTGAGAGCCCTCCCACCTCTCCCAGCCTGCACCCCTCCCTCCTCTGCACCCCTCCCTCCTCCATCTTGCGCCCAGGCCCCAGGCTTCCTCTCAGGCCCTCCAGCAGGGCCCCTTCTTCTGGGCCAGGGCCGGCTGGGAGCTGCTGTCCCCACCCTTGTTTGACATCCACACTTGAAGCCCTTTCTCCCTCATCCCGGGGGCCAGCCGACTGGTACAGCCACAGCCACCATGGGCTGGGGATGCTTGGTGAGTGAGTGGCTGTCTGAGGGCGTCTGCTGCACAGATGGGAAACTAAGGTCCTCCCTGACTCTTTGTCACAGCTGTGGGGACTGTGTGCCAGAAGGCCTAGTCCTGCTCCCCTCAGCAGGCAGAGGCCCAGGAGGGGGGCTGCTCCTCTCTCCTCTGTTCCGAACCCTGGGTCCAGGGTCTCCTCTGCCTGTGCTACTGCTCTTCATCCAAGATTCTGCGAGACCTTGACCTTTTGCTTCCTTCCTTCCTTGTACTGGACTGAACCCAGGGGGACTTTACCACTGAGCCCCATCCCCAGTTCTTTTTTTTTTTTTTTTAATTTTGAAATGAGGGTCTCGCCAAGTTGCTGAGGCTGGCCTTAAACTTGTGATCCTCCTGCCTCAGGCTCCTGAGTAGCTGGAACTATAGATGCACACCACCATGTCCAGCTGGCCCTGGGCCTATGGAAGCTTATGCCCGAGCTGGGGTTTGGCCAGTCCAGCACGTCCTCGGGGGCCATAGTTGCCTGAAGTCTTGAGACTGGCCGCCTGTAGCCCACCTGAGTGGGAGTGGGAAAGTGCTGAGGGTAGGGAGTGCCATTGTCCCCAGAAGCCGGCCCCCTCCTCTCCGTGGCTTAGAGGGCCCAATTCTTCCCAAGCTCATGGTTCTCTGGGAACCTGGACTCATGGTGAGCACCAAAGGCTGCCACAGAAGTCCACTCTGCCCTCCAAGGCTGAGGTGGTCATCACTGTCACCATCTGCCTGCAGAGCTCTAGGGCACTCTCTCTGAGCCCACCGGGGCACTGTGCCTTTGAGGCCACCGGTCCCCAGCACGTGAAGGCCAAATAAGGTGTGCAGCCAGGATGTGGTGAGGGCACCAGGCGCCTCTGTCCACTGGCGTGACCTTGGGAGGAAGGGGTAGTGGCTCCAGGTGTGCGGTTCAGGCAACAGGCAGGAGAAGGCGAATGTGTGCCCCTAAGGGGTGAGGGCCAGGGGGAGGCCAAGACCCTGGCAGGCTTGGGTTGGGGGGCAGCAAACTGTGCCCCGAGGTCCTTGAGGCCTTGACAAAGAGGCTGACCATGCAGCTCCCTCCAGGGGCCAAGGCCTGTCGCCACAAGCAGGTTGAGAGACCAGGGTCAGACACAAGCCCGCAGCCTTGGGCCCTGGAGCCAACCCTTCCTCCTCCCCAGGGTCCCAGACACCAAAGACCAGACAGTGGCTACTTGGCCTGGCTGTGACCAGATGTCACCTTTCTCCTATAGTGTCTAAAATTCTACCATAACAGCAAAGACCTGAGTATAAGCCAGATCAGGCCTGTGTCCCCTTGCTGTGACTGGGCGATGCCAGGGGCCCTGCTAAGGGCTCCTCTCATCTGAGGATGAATTACTTGACTTCCCTCAGAGCTGCCAGAGCTGGAGGCTGAGAAGATGGCCCAGAGGGGGAAGCTCCAGGGTCAAAACACACAGCACTTGGTGTGAGTGTGTGTGTGTGTGTGTGTGAGAGAAAGACGACACACACGCTCCTGGTCACCATCCCTCTTTCCTGTCCCAGGGTGTGGGAATGAGATAGGAGAGGGGACATGGATGCTCTGGAAGGGCATGGAGGCTGGCAGGGCTCAGGATCCCAGAGGCACATGGCTTCTTGAGTCAGGGAGTGCCGGCCACCTCAACACCCCTCTGGGACCCCCGAGTTCTGGGAGTGGAGAGGCAGAGCGGGACAACTTGTTCCCTCGCCAAAGGACCACTGTTTCCCAGATCCGGGGACAGTCCCGCTGCCGCCCAGCCCCAGGYTCGGACCCCCGTGGGAGCGAGCGAACTCGCAGCCCAGCCCGCACCGCTGTCCACGCCCAGCAGACCCTTGCCTTCCCTGTCCCTGGGGCCTGCGCAGAGCCGGTGACGGCCGCGTCGCCGGCCAGTCCGACCACCTACTGTAGACACCCTGCGCTGGCCGGGGCGGGCTCCCACCTGGTGCGGAGAAGCGCTGGGGCGCGGAGAGGCGCGGCTGGCGATGCGCTCTGCCGGGGCTCTGGCTCCGGCCGGGGTTGGGGCTCCCGCTCTGGCCGGGGCGGGGGCGGGGCCTGCGCCCGGGGGCGGGGCCGGGGCGGGGCCAGGCGGCGAGGCGGCCGCGCCTTACAAGGCAGAAGAATGTGCGTGCTGGGCCGGGCGGGGCCCGGGCGGAGGGGCCGCGCAGCCCCCCGGCCTTATTTGGCCTTCACGTGCAGGCGGGGAGGGGGGGTGGACACCCGACTTCATGGCCGCTCCTGTCTCCAAAGGCGACAAGGCCCTTCTTGGGTACAGGGAGGGCAGGTGATGGGGGCGAGGAGGCAGAGCCTCCGGGGGTCCCCCGGTTCTCAGACTCCTCCCCGGATTTTTTTCCGAAGGCCCCGCTGTCCGGCGCGAGTCCCGTGGGAGGACTGGCTCCCAGCAGGCCAAGTATGGCCTTTTCCAGTCGGAGGCTGAGCTGGACGACTTGCATGTCGCAAAGGACCAATCGTCCTCAGGCCAGGGGCCAACACAGCCTCCTGGGGAACTTTCCAGCCCCCAGTTACTTACTCTGTAAGCCGTCAGGGGCACCTGCTATCCGCCTGGCAAGGTGCTGGGGACGCAGCGGTGCGCCACGGCCGCCCGCCCAGGACGCGCTGGGTTTGTGGAGGGCGATGCCGCGAGCACGTARCTCCGAGCGTCTAGGACTGAGGACCAGGAGCCTGGATGGAGAAAAAAGCAGACGAGGGCAGAGTGACTGGGGTGTGTGGTGCGGTGCAGGCAGCCTCCCGGGAAGTGACTTCTGAGCAGGCTGCAGTGATGGAGTGAGCCCCCAGTGGAGCTCCCTGGGCTCCGGGCCAGGGAGCGGCAGGACGGGGTCTGAGAAGCAGGAGGAACTGTTCAATGGATCTGAGCAGAAGGGAGGGCGACCTGCTTGTGTCTGCACCCGGTCCCCCTGCAGCCTGCCTTGGATAGAGGAGGGGGTCCTGGACGAAGCAGGGAGAGTAGGGAGGCCGCCCAGCCCYGACGGTTCGGTTCCGACGGGAGGCGAGCAGTGCGGGTGGAGAAGGGTGGGCTCCCGGGCGTGTTTCTGTTGGTGCAGCCAATAGGGCTGCCGTGCACGGGGGTGGGGTGAAAGGGAAAATCAAGGTTGACTCCAAGGTTTTGGGTCTGAGCAACCGGAAAGATAGAGCGGTTATTTCCTGAGATGCGGGTGGGACACGTGTGGGTGGAGCAGGTTTTGGGAGTGATTTTCATTTGAACATATTAAATTTAAAAAAAAACTATTTTTTACGTAAGTTCAGGCTTACAATAAAGTTACAAGAATTGTACAAAGTACTCCTGTATACCTTCATCTAGGTTCTCCTTTGGCTTTTCTTTTCTCTCTCTCTCTCTCTCTCTCTCTCTCTCTCTCTCTCTCTCTCTCTATATATATATATATATATATATATATATATAACATTTCTCTCTCTCTCTTTCTCTCTCTATATATAAATAACATATATTTATCTCCATCTCAACCATTTGAAAATAAACAGTATACATCATGCCCTTTTACCCCTAAATTTTCAGTATCATCCAAAAAAGAGTATTGTCTTACATATCCTAGTACAATTGCAAAAATTTTAAAAAATCATTGATTCAATTACCGAATTTACAATCCATATTCCAGGTGTGCTAATTATCTCAATTTGTCATTTATAGAAATTTGTTCCAACCAAGGATCCAGTCAAGATCTTGTGTTGCTTATTCTTCTCCCTGGTTCTTTTGTTTGCATGTTTGTGGTAAAATAACATAAAACTTGCCATTTGGCCCTTTTCAAGTGCAGGTCCCCTCTTCTCCCAGCTTTGGTAACACCATTCAGCTTTGCTTCTATGAATCTGATGACTCTCGGAACCTCATATGAGTGGAACCAGATAGTGTTTGTCCCTTTGTGACTGGCTTATTTGTTTATTTATTTTGGCTTATTTTTCTTAGCATAATGTCCTCAAGATTCATCCAAGTTCAATATATGTCAGAATTTCCTTCCTTTTTAAGGTCGAATTGTATGAAATTCTATCATGTTTTATGCCATATTTTGCTTTTATATTCATTCTGCTGATGGATATTTACCTTGTGGCTATACTAAATGATGCTGTTACAATTGGGGGGAGTGTAGCTCAGTGGTAGGGCACCTGCTTAGCATGTGGGAGGCTCTGGGTTGAATTCCAAATAACCAACAAGACACACACACACACACACACACAGAGTAAATGGATGAATAATGCTGCTATGAACATGGGTGTACAAATACCTGCCCAGTCTGGCTTTGAACTCCTGAGTTCAAGTGTTCCATGCCCCAGCCTACAGGTGTGTACCACTGGTCGGAGATAGAAATCCATATTTTAATACATTCATCAGTTAATGGACATTTGATTGGTTTCCTCTTCTTACCTGTCATGAGAACTGCTGTTACAGACATTTGCATATGAGTTTATGTGTTGATATATGTTTTCACATTTTTAGGAATGTAAGATTTTCAGAGTAAGATCACTAAGTGTGTTAGTCCGCCTTCTGTAACTGTAACAATTACCTGAGATAATCAGTTTATAAAGAGAAAAGGTTTATTTTGGCTCATAATTTTGGAAGTTGCAGTTCAGGATCAGTTGGCAGCACATCATTCTGAGAGCGTGTGCTGGAGTAGACTTACCTACCTTGTGAGGCAGGGACAAACGAGAGCAAAGAGAGGCCCAGTTCCATAAGTCCCTTCAAGAGTATGCTATCAGTAACCTAGAGGCCTCCCTTAGACCCTACCTCTTGTACTTTTTAAAAAAATATCTATTCTTAAGCATTAGGTGTGGGGCTGGGGATGTGGCTCAAGCGGTAGCGCGCTCGCCTGGCATGCGTGCGGCCCGGGTTCGATCCTCAGCACCACATACCAACAAAGATGTTGTGTCCGCCGAGAACTGAAAAATAAATATTAAAAATAAAATTCTCTCTCTCTCTCTCTCTCTCTCTCTCTCTCTCTCTCTCTCTCTCTCTCTCTCTCCCCTCTCCTCTTAAAAAAAAAAAAGCATTAGGTGGACACAATATCTTTATTTTACATTTATGTGGTGCTGAGGATTGAACTCAGTGCCTTGTGCATGATAGGCGAGCACTCTACCACTGAGCCACAACCCCAACCCCATCTTGTACTCTTTTCTGAGACAGGGTCTTACTAACTGGCCCAGGCTGGCCTCAACTTGTGAGCCTCTTGTGTCAGCCTCCGAAGTATCTGGGATTACAGGCAGGCTGTTTGTGTATTTTGTGCCATATCCAAGAAACTATCCAAAACTATTGCTTTACCACATACCTGTAATCCTAGCTCTTGGTGAGGATGTACCTCTGTGGTAGAGTGCTTGCCTGGCATGTGCAAGGCCCTGGGTTCAATCCCCAGTACCACAAAACACCACCTCCGCTCAGCGGTTCTGGAGGCTGAGGCAGGAGGATTGCAAGCCCAAGGCAAGCATGTGCCACCCATCCAACCCAATTTCCTTCTTTTGTATTTAACTATCCAGTTTTTCTAGCACTATTTTTTATACCTTTATTTTATTTGTCTATTTTGTTTGTGTGGTGCTGAGAATCAAACCCAGTGCCTCCCACATGCTAGGCAAGCGCTGTACCACTGAGCCACAACCCTAGCCCCACCATTTGTTTTTGTTTTAATATATTTTAGTTGTCAATGGATTTTTTATTTTATTTATTTATATGTGGTGCTGAAGATCGAACCCAGGGCCTCACACATGCGAGGCGAGCGCTCTACCACTGAGCCCCAACCCCAGCCCCACCATTTGTTTTTGTTTTAATATATTTTAGTTGTCAATGGATTTTTTATTTTATTTATTTATATGTGGTGCTGAAGATCGAACCCAGGGCCTCACACATGCGAGGCGAGCGCTCTACCACTGAGCCCCAACCCCAGCCCCACCATTTGTTTTTGTTTGTTTGTTTTGGGTCTTGGGGAGTCAGCCCAGAGGCACTTTACCACTGAGCTACAGCCCAACCTTTTTTGTTTTTTATTTGAGGCAAGGTCCTGCTGAATCTTGCTAAGGCTGGCTTTGAACTTGTGACCCTCCTGCCTCAGCCTCCAGAGCAGCTGGATCACAGGCGTGCACCACGGTGGTGGCTGGTTCCAGACCATTTGCTGAGATTTCTTTCTCCACTGAATTGTTTGGCACTGTCAGTTGTCTGTGACTGTATGGGTTTATTTTTGGACTCTGAGTTCTAATTCATTGACACGTACATCTACATCTACCCTTTGGCCGTAGGGCATAATCTTGTTTAGTTTTTTTTTTTTTTTTTTTTTTTTTTAGTGTTAGGATGGCCTTAGGCCTGAGCCTAAGCAACTCCACTTTATTTTTTTTATTATTTTTTTTTAATATTTATTTTTTAGTTCTCGGCGGACACAACATCTTTGTTTGTATGTGGTGCTGAGGATCGAACCCAGGCCGCACGCATGCCAGGCGAGCGCGCTACCGCTTGAGCCACATCCCCAGCCCTTGTTTAGTTTTATAGTGGGTTTTGAAATTGTGAAGCATGTCATCTAACTTTATTCTTCTCTTTCAAGATTGTGTTGGCTTTTCAGGGTACCTTGCAGTCCCATGTGAATTTAGGATCAGGTCATCAATTTCTGCAGAAAAGGGTGCTGGGATTTCATAAGGATTGCTTTGCATCTGCAGGTAGATCATTTGGTGTGGAGTGGGGCATGGGATGCTGCCGGGTTTCTATTCTTGCGACTAAAAGGCTCAGGGGTCACTCCAGTTGAACTGGGCTGACTGGGCTGCACGAAATAACCACACAAGAGACACAAATACCTTTTTCATTGGGGCCGCGTGATGGCTCCTCTGACCTTAAGGGTCCACAGAAAGAGAGAGCAAGAGCAYGCAATGACCCCTTTTATTATGGAGAAGCTATTCAAATGAGGCAAGGGGTCAGGTTTCAGGGGGCTGAGTATCTTCATGGTGTCCACTATCAGCAGGTTGACTGACACCTGGGTAGGCCACACCCAAGGGCACAGTAAGAGGAGGGGACACACACAAGGCACTTCCATGGAAGATTCTATCCTAAACAGGGCAAGGGGTTATATTACAAAAGAACAGGTGAGCATAGCTGCACCCATGGGGCTATAGGAAGCCACACCCATGCAGGAGACACCAACCACATTTCTGTGACTGAGCGCCTCAGCACCCAGCAGGGGAGTGTGACCCAGTCACGTGTAAAGTTGGTCTCCCACAGGATGCCTCTCCATTTAATTATATCTTTCAAGGGGGGCTGGGGATGTGGCTCACACCCACACTTCTGTCCAACTTGGCTTTCATCAGGGGTTCCCACAGCTGTTCCCCAGATTTTTAAAAAAATATTTTTGTAGTTGTAGATGGACACAATACCTTTATTTTATTTGGTTATCATATGTAGTGCCAGGAATCAAACCCAGTACTTCAGGCACGCTAGGCAAGTGCTCTCCCACTCAGCCCCAGCCCCAGCCCCAGCCCCAGCCCCAGATTTAAAAATTTGCTAGAGCAGCTCACAAGCTCTTGGAACTCAGGAACACAGATTGTTTACTGTTGTAGGGACATTTTAAAGAGTAGACTCAGGACAGCCAAGAGGAGACAGACGCACAGAGCAGGGTGTTGGGGGATAGGGCACCCCTCTCCAGCTGGCCACGTCCAGAACCATGTCCTCACCACCCCAGGAGCACTCCAGGTTCTGCCATGTCTTGTGGAGGCTTCYGTGCAGAGGGCTGGATGATTAAGTGGAGCTGAGGGCCCACCCTGTGGTCATGTCTTGGTGGTTTGGTGACCAGTTTCTGCCCTGGAAATGCCCATCATCCGCATCTCACTAGTATACATACAAATGACTCTAGAGATTCTGAGGAGCTCAGAGCTGTGTGCAAGGAACATTCTTTTTCTTTGTATCACGATAATGCACAGGGATATAGTTGGGTTTTGCGTACTGGTGCCTTCTGAAGTCATTTATCATCTTAATAGTTCTTCTGTAGATACCTAAGGACTTTCTMTATGGA